TTTTGAAGCGGGAAGCTCAAAAAACCGCAAATTTCTTACGCAGACTGTGAAGTTATGAGTGCATTTCAGACTTTGCCGATGCGCTCATCGTGATTTTTGAGGCATTAGCTATAAGAAACAACTCTTATTTTTGCTCTAGCAAAAGTTTGCAACAGGCCCATTGAACGTATATCTGTTAGACGGAACCAAGCGCCAAATTGAGTTCCTTTTCAGGATTTCAGAATCCCGGATAACGCGTTCTGTTAAACGGAACTTTGTAAGCGCCATGGAAAAGCATCGCGAGTATGTGACGGAACGAGCATCGCGTTCCGCAACACCCGCCAATCCAAGCCCACCTCTCCCCTCCTCCCACTATGGCGCTTAGTTCCGTTTGATAGAAATACGTCCACTTCTCAGCAGTGGCGTTTTTTAATGTGCTTTAGGGGCCACTGCTTTTTTACACAAATTCAGGAACTAATTATTATTTGTATACACTTATAATCAATAGTAAATACTTGAATAGAAAAAAATCAAGCCCTACTGGTACGCTTAAAAAAGAGAGCTACAGAGTGTTAGAATCTTTAAGTGGAATTGAACTTAATCGACTGGGAGCGTAGACGTACACAAATTGTCAAATAAATAACTATTGCTACGGACGGGATATCTTCTGGTATACCTCGAATGATAAAGGCGAAATAGTAATGTACATAACCCTCGTGCCCCTTTGATGTCAATTCTGTCCTGTACAAGAAAAATGTATTTTAAATTCTGAATTGTAAAGTCTGTCTCTTCAAGAGTGTGCTCAGATCACCGTTTCCTGCATTCTCATCTAGGTACATTGGAAGAAAACGAACTGGTTTTGCTTTAGACTCCTGGGAAAAAAGAGAACGAAACGGTGCGGTAGCGTATTTAGTTTCACATCTGTGTATTTTGTGAAAAATCTCTGCAGAAAATCTTAAATTAAAGCCAAATCAGATTAACCGCTAAACATCGCATTCGATTAGTCAAATCGAATCGAAAATTTTGTGTTAAGTCGCATTTGACTTTGATTAAAGGTTTTCTGTAGAAACTTGCCATACATGGACAGCTGAAGTGCGCTTCTACGCTATTTTGCCTCTTTTTTGTAGAGAATAAAATGCAGAATTAGATATCTAAAACAAATTCTTCGATACGTCGATGCTTGTTCACTTCGGGGAAGAATTTACCTTCATAGACCGATTTAGTAGCTTCGTCATTCGATCTAATATCGAACCCTTGGTTCAAATGTAAAGAAACTCAGAACCTTGTTTCTTTCTCTTTTTCTTTTGTTGGTTTACTGGCTTATATTCCGAATGAGGAACCTACAGCCAATTATAGACACAATTTCAAACATAGGATATTAGGAGAACTGAAGGGGTAAGGAAATATCTAAAACGATGAATAGAATATTTGCTAAAAACCTTGTTTCTGATTCGCGCCCTTTGCGCCATGGTAGTACAATGCGTCCAAATGTTTCTTACAATTCAAATTTCTCCGTTTCTGTTTAATGAGTCTTCAATTGATTTATGACCGCGGTCAATTATTAAATTCTAATAAATTAACACAATCAACTCATGAAAAATACGCACATGAGGTTATGATAGTTTGCTTTGGTCTAAACGTTGAGTTCGATATTATATCGATTGGCGTAGCCACTGAATCAGTCGATGGGCCGGAACAAGCTTGTGTATTATAGACGAAAAAGGGAAGCACGAGCCCGCCCAAATATCGGAAAAGCTCGGGGCTTTCCGGGTGAACTCGCTTTGGCGCGAGTCGGCGGCGGTGTCAACGGGGAAGGCCGGGAGGGTGGTTACTTTTGCACTCGTGCTCTACTTACGACCCCTTCGATTCCCGCGAAGCAACCCGCAGTTCCCTCCTGTCCACGCTCGACTGAGGGCCGCTCCGCCGCCGTGTAATCCCCATGCGTGTGCCTTTACGTGATTTCCCTTCAATCGAGAGCCCCGCGTTTGCCGCAATTCTGCAACACGCATCGCACGCGTGCGAGTTTCGTTGTCGCCGTGCGAATCTCAGGCGGATAAATGTTTAGTGCCCCGAGTGTTGAAAGTTTCTCTGACTCTGGAATGTACCAATCGGAGGAGGTTATTCAGAAAGGATAACGTTGGAAGTTATTCATCTGAAATGAAAGGTCAGTAATCACTGTTGTCAGAAAGTTACACAGTAAGAAAAAGTAACTAAAATTTTGTGTGAATATGGGAGAAAGAACACAAAGTAACGCGAATATTTGGTTAATTTATTATAACCAGTTTCACTCGCGGTTGAATAAAGTAATCTCTCAGTTAAAAATTTCCGTAACCATTAAAACGGATAGCTAGGATTGAATTCTGGGTTCGTAGATAATGATCTGATGCGCTACCCACTCTCAAGTCGGGACCAATGAGGGAAAGGTCGAAATTGTGAGTTCATAAGGTTAACAGGACACCTCCTCAATCCTGAGACGTCTAAGAGTAACCTGAGATTTCTGTTGATTTCAGCAAAAATTTGGTTAATTAGACCGGAAGCCAATAACCCTAAGAAGTCACCAAAAACACGAAAGTTTTCAACTATTCGGTAGAGCAAACGCGAGATAATTCCTTGCCAATTGTGGCATTCGCTCATATCTACTAACGTATTAGAAAAAGAAAAGAGAGAAACTTGTATTGAAAGCTAGGGTTCATTCAAATCACTTGGAAGCGTAATCGGTCTTCCGCTCCTAAAGAAGAATGTACGATTTTTTGTTCTTAAATAGCTCCAGAAAATTTAGTCTCCATGAAACGTTACTTGTGCACGGTAGCTCAAATCACAGCTTAGGGAGAATTTTTAGGTAATTTTTGGGAAAATTTTCGAAAATCAGAAAAAAAATTCGCCATCAGAGGTAAACTAGCTCAAAATTTTCGAAGGTGGGGGGTGGGAGGTCTGCGAAAACAAGACTGGGAAACCCTTCTTTTCAATAAAAAAGAAGGGTTCAAAAAGGCTCGGAGAGGTACTGCTGGGTTTCTAAAAAAATTGCAAAATAGACCTCTGTAATATGCCGAAAAGGCCCCTGCGAGGCTTTTTTGGTCAAAATGTAGGGGTACAGTCCCTGAATCTTGGCTAATCAAGGGTTTAGGCATCGGCTGCTTAGATTAAAAGAGGACTATTTTGGGTATACACAATTTACTTTGGAAATTATTTTCCCAAGAGCACCTCTCTGTCTATCTCTCTCTCTCTTCTCTCTTCCCCTCTTCTATCTCCCCCTCCTCTCTCTCCCCCTCAAGTTTCAAAAAAAAAAAAACATTGGCACTCTTTGTACATCATGGCAAAATTTAAAGATCACGTTGTGTGAAAAACAAATCGGCTTCCAAGAGTAATTTTAAACGTTTAATTAATTTATGACCCTGAAAAGGGGAACAGTCAATTTAACCTTTTTTTGAAGGTCACTGCATTTTAAGTATTGACTTTCAACATAGGTCCCATAAATGATGGACCTCCTCTCCTCCGACCTATCTCTGAAGTGGATTTCCTTGTTCTTGGCGGGAGAGTGAGGTTCAAAATGAACGAGATGCTCAAAATTATTAGAAATCTAATTTTCATCCCACAAGTTCTGTAATTTTTTGGTTCAGGTTTCAAGTCAGGTTCAGGTTTGCGGTGCAAGAGTGGGAGGGGGTTGTGGGATAAGAACCGGGAAAGGTGCGTTATGCAACACCTGAACAGCTCCTCACACGGTGGAAGGAGAGGTCGTAAAATCGAAAAAAAGTGCCTCGGGTGATTCATGGACTGTACCTTGTTTGCTCTGGGGGATATTCCCGAAGGTTCCCAGGAGAGGATCCCATTTCAATCTCCCGCGCAAAGTGCCACAAACTCCGGAACGACTCCGACGGTGTTAACATTGCCGAGGAGCTCGTCTCAGCGGCAAGAAATCGTTGCGAGCAATTTCGAAGGAGCCGGCTGAGGCGGGGGCTCATAATTTATGGAGCCGACTAATGGCACTAAAGTGAGCGGGGTATAATCTGTTTAGTGTTTACGTCTTGCGCTATGCGGGTCCCTCGTCTTATTTTGCGGGGAAAACGAATAAAGGAGAGGCTCGGTGAATTGACATTGCAGCAGGGGCTGTCACGTGAAAATTTGATGAGCAATCCAGGCCGTGTACCAGGCGGACCACCAGACTCGCTTAAAATTTTACCGCTCGCATCACATGATTATCCATTAAAATTTCATGTCGTACACGGAGGGAGCATTAAAAAACTCCTGAAACCGGCTCATAAGTTTGAAATTAAAATGTTTCAAATTGTTGACTCAACCGTTCCACTCGTCATGGCCGAGTGAAGGGCCCGTGTGAGTCTTTCTATCCCCTGGAGTATGCACTATGATATTGGCCACATTTTTCAAGAAGGAACCATTACTTCTGGCTCATTTTAGAAACAACATATATGCTCTTGGTTTCCCTATCTAGAAAGGTGCTTTTACGAAAGAGCCAGAGATAGGGATTCCTTATTGGATAATGTAATCCGTATCATCTGCCGCCTCCTTTTGCATAGAAAATACATGCAAGCAATAGAAAATGACCTCTGAACCGGCATTTTCCCACGGAAGAAAAATCGTCATCGGCCATACGAATCGAATAGTTCAGTAGGCACGCTTTTTGGTTCAGAAGACGAGTCTACAGTTGACCACATTAGTTGACAGAACTGGAATTCAGTCCGATGACGAGGAACATATTCCATATGGACAGACATTTTTCGGTTCGGTGAGCTAAGACTTCGGTTCGAACGTTCAGTTCCGCCAACTGGAATGGTTTGCTTGACTGCTTCAAAATGAGATACGTTAAGGTAACGCCTGCACTGATTCAGCTATTCCCACTCAACGACTATCATAGTTGCGTGTCGAAAAAATGAAGGCGCTCCAGTTTACCCGTAGCGCAATATTTTACCTACGCTTAGGAGCGCTCTCATTTTACTCGACGAGTTACCTATCTGCTGCATCGTTTTGTTCTATCGCTTGTTTCACGAGGCGTTTGCGAAAATTCAAAGGAGCGAATGTTTAACTCTCCATAAAGCTCCTAATTTGCAACGTTTCTTCTACAAAATAACTGCTCATATTTTTGCTGTGATTTGAGATCTTGTCAAGTTCATCCTCGGATTTTCTATTGAGAGCCTATTCACTGATCAAAAATGTAACCTAATAGGCCCTTTCATGAAAAGAAATTAAGGGACATTTAATGGCACGGTCCATAGGAAATGGAGAAGTTTTGTGCATTATAGTATCAAAGGAATTTTTCAAACCTGGAAGGAGGGAGTTACACGGTGGTACGTACCTTCGACTCACATTATTGAACTTCCAATGGGCCTGTTGCAAACTTTTGCTAGAGCAAAAATAAGAGTTGTTTCTTATAGATAATGCCTCAAAAATCACGATGAGCGCATCGGCAAAGTCTGAAATGCACTCATAACTTCACAATCTGCGTAAGAAATTTGCGTTTTTTTAAGCTTCCCGCTTCAAAAACGATACTACGGCACAGGTGAACATTTTGTTAGAGGAGTCGCTCCGTCGTCGGCGATATTCATCATGGCCGACGCTTGCGCGCAGTTCCGCGCGTAATTCGAGGAGAGTTCAAGGTCAATCAATTCGGGCGTGGAAAATATGAACGTTATCACGCCGATTGTTATCTGGTCTAATTCAGTTCAGGTGTTATCTCGTCCCATCACACGTGTTTTGGCGGATTGACGTCGGCCATGATGAGTATTGACCACGATGGAACGACTCCTCTTACAAAATGTTCACCTGTGCCGTAGTATCGTTTTTGAAGCGGAAAGCTCAAAAAACCGCAAATTTCTTACGCAGACTGTGAAGTTATGAGTGCATTTCAGACTTTGCCGATGCGCTCATCGTAATTTTGAGGCATTATCTATAAGAAACAACTCTTATTTTTGCTCTGGCAAAAGTTTGCAACAGGCCCATTATCTAAGAGATTGCAATTCAATACAAATTCGATTGAATAAGCCAAGCCTAGAATTGCCAGCCTCCTGATGTGTAGTGGTTGTAACGCTTGGTCTACGATACGGAGGTCCCGAGTTCGATTCGCGGACGGGGGACCCGAATTTGATGGTCAGTTATCTAGGGCTGGCTTTATCAGAGACGGAGGGGGATAGGATTTCAGGAACGGTAAAGCGCAAGATTATCCCTCGTGGGTTATTTGAAATGAAAAAAAAAGAAAAAAAAACCGAAATTGCAGATGGATCGGAAATTGGGATTCAAAGAAGCGAGCTCCCTTATTCATGTAAAGCGTCTTTAAAATACACTCTTGCAGTTAAGTAAATATGATTAAAAATGGTCGTTTTTTGTTCCTCACAGTTGAATACTCTTGGTTAAAAATGAAACTTGAGAGGACTTTTCCTAGCACTAAGCATACCTCATCTAGACGGGGGAGAAAAAACAGAGAGGAGAGGTTCGGGAACAATTGGCAAGGAGTAATTTCAATAAACCGTCTATTTTGATGCGAAAGAAATGATAAAAATGAAAAATAATCTGGGCTTCCAGGAGAACTTCAATCGGCACTTCGAACTTCCAGTCCAATTCCACTCAATCACCTTACGCCTCACTAAATTAGCTTGGTACTTTTCAGATGCGAAACTTTAATTTCACGTGAGTAAGCGCATCTGCTCAGGTTATATTTCAACGTTAAAAGTCTCTTTGACAATCAAACTTTTGCCTCTTTGAGCAGAGCTTCGAAATTAAAAATTATGCAAAAATTAAGTTTTCTCTCCACTTGTAAGAGAGTTCATTAGTGCTCTTTCACACCGTGGATTTTTAATATAGCGCCTTGCCTGTGAACTAGGTTCGACACCGGTAATATGATAATTATGAACCAAGATGGAGCTTTTAGACAGACAGAGATCTACCCTTTGACCTGTTTTTAGTAAAAATACAATTGTGTTGATAATTATGTCTGACTATTACATCGCTAGATTCAATTGAACTTTCAGAGATCCACGATTTTTTAGAGACAGCAATCAACATTTACAGCGTTATTGGTGTATCGAAGAGGCTTATGCCTCTGTGAAGCCTCAGTTCGTACGCGGAGAAGAGCAAATGAACAGTAATTGCTTTCAATCTGAAAAAGTTTTCTTTGCAAAAACTCCGGCTTCCACTTCATTTAATTTTTAAAGGACGGAGCGCCCAGGCTACCAAAACGTGTCCTTTTAAAACGAATGTAAACAGAAGCCAAAATATTTAAAATGAATTTCAAATATTTTCAGAACTTTAAAAGGACGGCATACGCATAGAAAATGAAAATCCCTACTTAATGGATAGGATATCAGTGACTTGACAACTTGACTGGTCAATAGCTGCATCGAATCAAACATGGCTACGTGCGACTTACCGGGATCTACATGCTTCTTCAGACTCAACACAGACCGATCGAATATTTCGTGAAAGCTGGCAACGCTGACCTTGCCTGCCCAACTTCCGTTTCCGTCGACGCTGCTCCATTTCCGCATTTAAAAACCGCTCGGGCATACGCAGCCAATGTAATAACATGCCCTAAATTATTCGTGAGTTATCAATTTCTAATCGACTACCATCAGCTAAGCGGCCAGCTTTCCTCCGTGCGCACCGAGCCAACGAAACCGAAAGCTGAAATCGTCGCTTCTCTGACGTCAGGGCGTATCTCTATCCCTACATGATCTCCGGAAGGCATAGTATTATACGGAGCGCAGGGCTCAATGGATATTGAGATATGCACTTACCTTAGAGGGATGACAAAATATCACGTGGATCCGAGTGGTACACAATTGGGCGTATTTATGTGAAATGGAACTATGTGCAAATGGGAAGATGGGGTGTGCTCGTTGTTGAGGGCCATGAGAATGAATGTGGATTTTAAAGCACCAGTGACGTCAGCGGCGACGAAGCCGTCATCGCCGAGCATTAACTCATGAACCCTGTCCACAACGCTCTTGTCACATGTCCACGGCTCACGAGTTAGCGCTCAGCTCCTTTTGATTTAATGTCAAATCCCGCTTTCCCATTTTCTCAAAAGGAACCGTATCCTATTTTACATTGGTTCTTATCCAGCTCACCACGAGCAAACCTCGTCTTTCCACTTGCACATAGTTCTTTTCAGCATAAATACGTCCAATTGAACTAGGCTTTAAAAGACGTTGCACATGAAATTGTTCGCTAAAACTGAACATTTTGATGTTTATTTCGTAAAGATTTATATTTTAAGGGATGCTTCTCAAAGCGAATTAGAAACAAATTCCTGTGTTCTCGTATTATCAAAAATATACGATTTTTAAGTTTCCATGTCATATCCGACCTTTCTCATTGACTCATCCCTCTGTGGGAAATGTGCTCCCCCAAATCAAGAGCATAGTGACGTTTTCTGATTACAGAAATTCGATTACGGAATATGTACGAAGAGGGCATGGAAGTTACTTACGTTGATATTTCGCCTTCAATTTTCGGGGTAGGCCATATACAACATACTTTGACTATAATATTCATCGTCTGTTGTGGACTAAAAAAAACTTGTATAACAATAAACTATGTTCAAATCTACGAGATATATAAAGATAACTCCATTTTCCTATTCAAGTCTTCAGGATTGATGATACAGCTGTGAGTACGAAAAAAGGACCGTAGTTCTGCTAAGGAGGCGAATAAACCTTATCATCAACTTAAGAAGAAATAATTTTAAAATTGAATTTTTGAGGGAGAACCTCGATGGATAAAAGTTCCCATGGGGAGAAGTACCCAGAGTCCATCTTTTGAGTGGAGGTGTAAAAATTAATCGCAGCCCTTACATGCACTATAAAGCCGTATCTGGAACATATCTTCTATCACCGAGGCTAAAAGTGATTCGAATCATGACCACAGAAAATTTAAGGACGCTTTTAATCTATAACGTAGAACAGACAGTTTTTAAAAACTTGACTGCCCCTCAACAATTTATGGTTATAATACTTTAAAATATGATGCTAAATCAACGGCATCCTTGAACCTCCCTTAATCACATAGTGTAAACTTTATTGATTGTGGAACTTCTTAACGATAGGAGTTGTTTAAGGTTTATCCGCAGCTTCAAGAATTAAGAAATTTCTCCGTGCAGGGAGCCCTATCGCTGTGTTTTTCTGTTTGATTCTCGCCATTAGTGTCTGCAGAGCTCCACGTGAGCCACTATGAAAATTAAAAGAATTTCTGTTAAATTCGAGCAGTCAAAAGTTCTAGCCATAACATTCTCCTTCTTAAAAGAAATCTGAGTACCATATTTCTTTCTGTTGACACTAAGAAGGACATGATAAGTAATTTCTGGGGCTCTGTAACTTCATCCTAGAGAAAAGTAGGGTTACGCAAAATGACTTTGATGCGAACAATCACGAGTGATTTCTCTCAGCAGTTGCAAATATCTCCCTCCCACCGTGGACTATCTCGCGCACGCACGGACATCCCATATGAGAAACTGGGATCAAGTTTTAGCCTTTGTTATTCTTTCAAAGCTCTTGTTTGGTATTAACCATTTTAGGTAAATGCTGCTGGAACTTATGAGTCTTATACAATTTAACATGGACGTATCTCTGCTATTCGGAACTAAGGGCCAATTTCAGTCCCTTTGGAGGATTTTAGAATCCCGGATAGCGCGTTCTGTCAAACGGAACTAAGTGCCATGAAAAATCGTTGTGAGCATGGGACGGAATGAGCTCCGCAGTCCGCAACCAGTGGCGTGGCGTGCTTTGCGATATATCGATTGATCTGTCATTTAAACCTATGGAAAAGGATCATGAACAGGGTGCTCGCAGCGAACACCTTAATAATCGATTCTTTACCATAGGTTTAAATGGCATAACAATCGATACATCGCAATTCACGCCACGCCACTGGCAACAACCGCCAATCCAACCCTTTCCCTTTCTCCCCGTGTGCCGCTTAGTTCCATTTAGCAGAAATACGTCCATAATCTGTTGTGATATTTAAATAATTGGATATTTAATTAATAATTTAAATAATAATTTAAATAATAATTTTTAGAGTCAGATTTCAGCAGTGCGACGTGTTCGATTTTTTTGGAACTACAGCTGAAGATTTACCTTCAGTAATGACCTTAATTATGGTCCTAAAGAGTGGGTTAAGTATAATGGCTGTTTCATGAAATCGGCCTCAAGTCTGTTGAATTTTGGTATAATAACGAATGATTCGCCGATACGTGTACGATAGGCCGACCAACTCTATCATGACATCAATTTTCTTCTTCTTCATTTTCTCTCCTTTTTTCGGATGAACGGATTTACCTCGCCGAGCGAAACAGCGGGTAAACAAACGATCCAATTTATCACACAACTGAATTTTGATGACGGGAAAACTCCGCGATAAATAGACGATATAGTCAAACAGAGGCCGATCAATGTAATCGGTGCCAAATCGGCCAGATACACACAAGTTAACATGCCGATTATACCAACTTTTACCGAAGATTCTGTGCATAATTTGTTGCATTTCGTGCCCGGCGTGTCATCCACAATCGCATAAAGGACATGAAAGCTGTCGAAAAATGTATTTGCTGAAAAAAAATATGTTTTGTCGAGCACTAATAATATGAATACGCGTGTCACCCACAAGGTTGGCTGGGGTCTAGAAAATCAGGGATAGCATTAAACTGGGTGCAATCATTCATGAGATGAAATAATGATCGGAAAACAAACGTTAATCGTTAAACTCGACCTTGGACCAATCATTATTTGTCTGTAGCATTAAATAATGACGAAGGCATATGGTTACCAGCGTCAATCGATCACCAAATTAAAAGTTCATGATTGCTTGCGGATGAATCGCTAATCATTATTCCAGTATTAACCAAGAGTTCCAGTGGCTCTGCTCAGTGACACACGTTTACGGGGTCTTGCATTTCAAATTAATATCGGTGAGTTATGTAATACTTGAAATGTAAATTACAAGTAAAGTATGCATCAACCCTGTTAATTCTATCAGCCTCAAATCTTCCTCTTACATGACTTCAAAACTTATAATCATCATTCGTTACAGCAACTGTTTAAAAAAAAAAAAAAAAAAAAAAAAAAAAAAAATCATAACTACAGATCTCAAAAAAACTATTCGGTTAATAAACCATATTTGGGTAGTTTATACTGACACTTTACAAAACATAAAATTAATGCAATGATTATACAATATTGCGATACAAATAATAATATTACAATGATATTACAATATTTGAAGATTTTCTGTAGTTTTTAATAGTAGAAATGTTTGAAGAAAGTCAGAGTATCTCACAAAAACTGGCATTTTCTAAAAAAAAATTCGAATTTTACCAGAGATAAATTTTAACATTGAATAAAAAGACACGAAAAGGGTTTTGCATAAATTAAATGTTTTAAAAAAATGATAAAATTGTATTTGATGAATATCTATATGTCGAGGGACTGAGGATGAAAATCCGCATTCTCTAACCGCGTTGATTGATCCTGACTCCATCAAGAGGTCAAATTTCAACCCTTTAATCAGAAGTTTTTCACTGCTTTTGTTCTATGAGTTAATATTATACTAAAAGGCTTAAATCTGCAGATCAATATTCATAAAGTTTTAACCTCTTTTTCGAAAAAAATACAGATTGTATACGTTTTGACTCTTGAAGCTTCAATTAAATGCTTATTTGCTTCTCTTCCAAAGAAAACGTATGCCATGGGTATGATGAAACATTGCAATTGAAATACTTCGGCACTGAGTCATAGAGTAGATATACCTACTGAACCCACATAAAAATCCACATTCGTGATTGCAGACTTTAGAGGAATAATCGTTCTTCTCTCCTTAAGCTCTTGCTTACTTTAATTATGTCAAAGACCTCATGAATCGCGATAAGCAGAAAGGGACCAAGTCACATCAATCATAACCAAATTTCATCGATCAATTTATTTATTCCTTTCTTCTACAAGAGAACGGCTGCACAGATTCCTCTGAAAATTTTAAGGAATTTGCCACACGACACTGAAGAAACTCTCTGTCATGAGAAAGATCTACTTCAACAAAATCATTTCTTGGAAAAAATGAGTTAATTGATGGTTGTCAATGGTTGATCTGATTTTTCCCCTATTTACTTAATGTAATCATGTAATCTTTACGTTTTCAACATTAAATGAACCGCGTTAAGCAGAAAGGAACCAAGCTACATCAGCTATTGCCAAATTTAATTGGGCACTTTAATTTTTTACATGAAAACGGTTGTGCGGATTTGTACTCAAATTTTAGCCCCTCGTAGTACGAAGAAAATTCCTTAAAATTTACAGAAGGATCCACACAAGCGTTCTCTTATTAAAAATGAAATTGCCTAGTTAAATAGCAATAGCTGAAGTGGCTCGGTTCCTCTCTACTGAACGCGGTCCAAATACATCTTCTAACGCTAAAAACAATGTCTCTAATTTCCAGATAGCTACCTTGGATAAGTGTACCCACAATGAAAATCACTTTGTTTCTCGCGCTACCGGTATTGCTCGTGATTTGTTCAGTTGTTTGGGCTAGGGACAAAGGGCGTGAGGAGGCAGTGAATTCTCAGTTCAATCCTAAAAAGCCAAAACCGGGCGGAAAACCGAGCGGAAAACCAAGCGGAAAACCGGGCGGAAAACCAAATAAAAAACCGGACGACGGGATGTTCCCGCACCCAGCCATCCTAGCTTACTCCGGGTGCAAGCTGAGGACGAAGTCACTGCCTTGCAACTCCAAAGGCCACCCCCACATTCAAATAGGCGAGGCTTGGGCCAACCCGCGCGTCTTGAACCAGCGCGTTGCTTTTTTCACGCCTTTCCCGAGTAACCACCCGCAGTTCTGTAACCAAGGAGGACCTTACGGTGACGTCATAGCCTACGATTGTCTCCCGAAGAAGGAGGATTTAGTGTATACGCCGAACCTCGCCTCCTACTGCTTGCTCTGGGAGGCTGGTCTCAACGGGAAAAAGAATGACACCGGGGTCATGCCAGATCCGCCAAAAGGAAGCTATCATGCCAATCCACCGCCGATGGTTTGCCCATCCAACCTCGACCCCTGCTACTGCAAAGATTGGTTCAAGCCAGGCGGAAAGTTGGGCAAGTACGGAAATTACAAGATCGGGTATAAGGGTCTCTGGTGCCCGCCGAAGACTAAGGAAAAACCTATGAAGCCGCTCTTTTGCGGAGGCTTCGATTTGGGCTGCAAGCCGGGAACTTATTTGGAAATGCAAACAGAATTCTTGCCGAAACTGAATTGCACTGTTTCCAAGTGCAAAACACCTAAGCCCCTGGTTGAAGCATAAAAAGTGTCTGTCGCCAAAGGCAACATCAGTGCAGCCGATAATCAATAGTGCCGTGTCACCGAGTGAAGCGCATCAATTTTTCGGCAATCATATTTTTGAAATTTGGTTTCCCTCAAAATTCTTATAATGTTATTTTGACGAACTGCAGAACTCCGCTGAAGTGACGAAACTCAGCTCTTCTTATGGGACTGAATTACGAAGACAAAAAATTCATTCGATAAAATTGTCTGTTTGGAGGACACAAGGTCTCTGCATTCTCTCAAAAGTCATTTTTGCCCTTTACTACCCTTTCCAGTTACACAATACCACGAGAAGGAATCTAGAGAACATTTGCAGTGAGGAACTACATTAAGTATTCTTGGTTTATTTATCAGATTTCTTGTCTGCATAGGGAAATTATTGACGTGTATGCTGAAGACGAAATAAACCAAAGAAATCTGCAATGCAAAATGCAGTCCAGCTGAGAATTGGGTTATGCGGAATAAATTATCAAGATCTTGGGGTTTCTTTTCAAACAAAATTTCAAGAAATTGATCCTTTTAATACACAAATAAAAGAAACTTTTGTGCATGTTGAATTATCAATTCAAATCAAACAAAACACAATCGGACTGGTTAAAGGAAATTAATTATCTTGGGGAATAAAATTGATATCTTATTGTCGAGATGACTAATGAGAGTTCGTTATTTCTTCAAATGTTCCTCCGAATTATTTTTAAGAGTCTCAGAAGTACGGGAGTCAAATCAGTATTAATTTTATCTGAAATACGTCATTAAATTGATGCTTAGTCATTTCACACGAGGTTAAGCAAAATTTAATTGACATTTCATACCAAACTGTTTTTTATATTTTCATCAAGAAGAAAAAAAAATTAGACAAAATGTATGTAATATTTTTTCGCTCAAGATTTCCAATCAAACTCATAAAAATCATAAGTACAAAATTTCTTGGAATAATCGACACTTACATTATGTATTACACTAGATTGTAACATGAGAAATGTATTACGCAAGTTGTTTCATAAATAAATAAGCAAATGTTATCGACAATAAATTTCAAATGAGTTTCATTTATTCATGTTTCTTCTTCTATTCATCTACTAATTTTTTCTTTAATTTTTACATTTTTTAATCTCACTAAAGCCAGGCAAACGGCCACAAAATGATGTTTAATTTTCCAATAAAGAAGGTATTTTCTCATTAATTTATCTTCAAAAGTGCATGCACTTAACGTGCGTTTGGACATCAACACTGTAAATTAGATGTACCTTTTGAGTACGATAGAGCCCTAAACCCATACTAAACCCTCCTTTCAGATAGATATGTCCTTTTTAAATGACCGAACATAGCCAGCTGGCTGATTATTCAAATTGATTGACAGAGGGATGGACCAAGAAGACAAAGCAGAAATGCAGCGATCCTATTGGTTGAAACGGAAGGTTGTTATAGCCTAAGGGGGAAAATGATGGAATAACTATACGAGGTTCCGCATAATTACAGCGAATCGACTACTCATTTTCATTTTAATTTTTCTTTCCATTTGATAATGTAGTTGTATACGGAACGTTCCAGGTTTTTCTTTTGATTTGTCCCCCTTTTGCAGTCTTTCCCCAAATTCAGTTGTTATTTTATTACGAGGATCCTCGTGGGGTGCACCTCTCTTATCCATAGCAACCACCCACTTCCCTCAGTAGGATCGCTCTGTTGTAATAAAAATGTTCTTTCTTCATCGCTTTTTCTATCAATTTTCAACAATCAGGCCTTTCTGACTGCTTGATGACATCCTAATAAGTTAGACCCTACACCATTCTAAGACGAAATATACACTCGCACTGCAAAAGGAGAGACAACATCACGTCCGCGACGGGCCCGCAACCGCAAGAGCACGGTCACAAAGGCACCCGAAAATAAAAGGGATCGTAAAACAAGGCGTGCGGATTTTTGAGGCCGGCGGTAAAACAGAGCCAGAAAGTTCATAATAATTCACCCGGGGCCAGGGCCGGAGGCGGGGGGGGAGGCGGTCGTAGCCGGGAAAAGCGCAAGGAGGGGAGGAGGGGGGTGCGATCGAAGGAGAGGTCCAGGAAGGCTGCTGAAATAGCAGGAAACAACTGTGAAACGGGCGCTGAGAGAACTGCAAGCTATGCACTGGGCGGGGCGGGGGATGCTTTAACATTGAACTGTGGATGTGGGAAGTGGGTCAGGATGCTGCAGCGCACCACGACCCCCCCCCCCCCCCCGCCACCACCGGCCCGGTAGGTGAGGAAGAAAATCCTACCTCGCGGTGGAAATTCATCGGAGTTGCGTTGCTTTTGTCGAGCACAGCGTCCCCCTCCCCAGCCTCCCGGGTCAGCTCTGCCCTCTCACGACCCAAATAGTGCCGGAGCTGCATTCGTGTGCATCTCTTTTCGTCGCCCCGATGACGTAATGACGTGGCTCTTCTTCGAGATGATCCCTGTCACCCGTATAGCTCGATACTTTCCGCGGCTCACGGTGATACGCGGTTGCACCCGTGCGTCACACGTTTTGACGTGCAGGGTCGGTTAGAGGCTTGGGTGAATGAGGAAGCAAGTGAGTGAGTAAGTGAGTGAGAGGGTGAGTGAGTGTGTGAGTGAGTTGGAGTCATGTGCGATGTAGGGATTGTTGTGGGCAAACTTCAGCTTGAAGAGTGCCTGAATTTGCAAACAATCTTTGTCGACAAAGCCACAGCCTCAAAGCTCACCAAGGGAGAACTCGTCATGTCGGTTTTTTTACACTCCTCTCCAGTTTTCTTTCCCGAGGGACGCGTTTGAGTCAAAAGCAATTATCTCCATTATGACTTTGGCCCCGAGACCCGTAAGAATACATGCAAAACAGAGCTTACGTCACAGTAGAGATCGGGTTCTTTTTATTTAAATACGCGCTAATATGTACTTCTGCTCTCTGATTTCCTTTCCAACCCCGTCATACTTTTATCCGTTCTCACTCTCTGTCTCTCCTCCTACTCCATTCGCTCCTTACGCTCCTCTTTTCTCACCTTGCTTTTTCCTGTTCTTTCTTCCTTTTCAAATTCTTCTATAATTTGCCGCGCCGTTGCCAGTTTTCCGCAAATGCTCATTTAACTTGTACTCGGTAAAACCGAATTACACTACATCAAGTGGCCTGTGCTGCTTTGCAGGCGTCTACTACTAAAAGAACAGTTTACTTGAATAATGGTGAAAGAACCAGCCTTAAGTAATTAAGGAGTTTATATCAGTGAGAAGAGTGCTCAATCAATCTGTGCGTTCCTTGATGGGACGGAGCGAAAGTGACACAACCACTGCTAGCAACTATTCGTGCTCGGAAGCCGCTCATATTGCCATCACAATTGTTGAAGGCGAGCTCGATAGAATGAGAGTCACCCAGTGGGTAATCAATGCGTGTTCCTTGCGCTCCTACGTTTATTCGTATTTCCATTAACTTATTATTAATTTTATCATTTAAGAGTAATTGAATGACAATACTTCCTCTTCCTTAAACTAACCGGAAAGAATATACTCAAGCGAGATATACTGAAGTCATTAAACAGGTAAAAGCTTTGCTTCCTCTAACAATCGCTCAATGTCCAGTTGTTTCGCGACAATCCGGGAAAAAAGAAAAAAACCGCACCTAACCTGACCTAACCTAACCTAACCTAACCTTCCCGCCAGAAGGACGGGCAGCCGGATCTTTCAAAGGGCACAGGGGGCGCGGGGCTCACCGCGCGATCCCTATATTTATCAGTGGCGTGGCGTAAATTGCGATTTATTGTATGTCATGTCATTTAAACCTATGGTAAAGAATCGATTACTAAGGTGTTCGCTGCGAACACCCTGTTTATCGATCCTTTTCCATAGGTTTAAATGGCATAACAATTGATATATCGCAAAGCACGCCACGCCACTGATATTCGTTCCGTCATCGAGAGACCAGGACGGTCCCGCCGGTACCACCCACGCCCGGATAGGCAAGATAGTGCTCTCTAAATTCTCATCTGAAGAATTGCGCTTACTTGTCAATAAAACGCGATTATGATCATGATGATTTGGACTATATTTTGCAATTCGGAACTATAATTTCTGCCTCATTTGTAAAAACACTTGTGTGCATAAGGAAACTAATGGTACATGCGTTGTTTCTAAACTGAGCCAGAAATTATAGTTCCTAATTGCAAAATGCAGTCCATTTGATGTTAACCTGCACGACGAACTCTCTGTGGGTTGATTTTTGCAATAATTGATACACAAAGCCGTAGACAAAGAAGACAAATGGGAAATGGAGCGATCCTGTTGGATTTTTTTTTTTTTGGGGGGGGGGGGTTATGCGTCAACCAAGGTGGTTTCCAAAATCTGCGCAGAGAGACCACAATCCTAAGAATGATCTGCTGTAATATCACTGGGTGCCCGTCTCTTTTTGGAAGAATTTTAGTTAGCTTATAATGAATTTAGTTCTGAAAATCTAAAGAAATGAATAGTTAATGCTGTTGGTGTAAGCGGGTGGTTGCAATAGGCGAAGGCAGTAAATGATATACGAACTAATGGCATCCCACACGACACCCCTTAGGTAGCCCATCATTTCCCCCCTTCACCTATAAAAACCACCTGTTTAAACCGCAGTAGAATCGCTCTATTTTTTCTTCGTCTTCCTTGTCTATCGCCTTGTCTATCAATTTCAAGAATCAGACCGCAGAAGTATCATGAAAATATGAGGCAAAAAAAAAAAAACTATTTTGCTCAAACCATGATAAAATGGCGAGTGTTAAGCAGAAGATGACCAATATACTACCATTCCAGCTTTGTAGCTGTGCGTGAAGTATCATAAACATTGAAGGCGAAATGAAACCGTTTGAGACACGAGCGAAAATGGGGCCTGGAGGGAGTGACGGGACGGAAAGGCAAGGACTCAGAGGCTGGCGGGTCGATCCGAATCCAATAACCCAGCTGTATGTCGTCGAATTGATTTGTCACCGGCTGAGCGTATTGTCTGAGCTAATTTCAAAAATTAGAGCCACAACTCCAGCGTCTCGACTCGGCACGAACTTGCCCCCCC